CATCAAAATGAGTATTTCTTAGACTCGATAGCCTGCAAGGGCACAAATATATGGTTGTACTTCCCGAACAATAAGCTGTATTATGTGGGAGAAACCCAGGACGATTAACCGCAGGGTTTGCCATTTTAGCACCATCATTTTTCCCCATTTCTAACGATAGAAGGAACTGTATGTTAAAAAGTTGATTTCAATTATTTGCTTGGGTAAATGGAGGATCTGGAGGATGTACTGGAACGAGATACGTGCGTTAAATCTTGACTCCGTTTTCGGCTTGTATCAGAATTTAGCTGTAAACTTATGGAATGATGCTTTGAACGGTAACCCGAGCTGCCCTCTATAAAAAAACAGAGGGCCGTAATTAGTGAGATCGAAAAAAATTTATGACACACCTAATACAACTCAAGATTTTTACCATTGTCAAGTTTCGCTGATTTTTGGTTTTTTAACCTATGGATGAAGCAAACGCTACAGGATGAAAAGCAACTATTTTCTCATTTCCGTCATAGTTTTTTCACAAATAATTCGTTGTGGCCATCGAATTTCAGCACGCCTGTCTTAATGTTAGAAATAAACTCATCGAACACCAGTGAATGTTCGGAATAGAAATCGGAAATCTCTGTGAATCCCATTTTCTTTCCACTAGGGCTTTATACTATTTTCCTTACATGAAGCAAATACTCCTAAGTTCTCAGCCGCATTTTTGTTCAAACTTTTTTTTTCGCTCAGTATAATCACTGAAACCTTCAAGTTCAATAACGCACGCATTTGAGTGAAGCTGTACACAGAGAATAAGTTATGATGTGTTATTATTTATGGGCTTCATGAGGCTCAGCTCAAACATAACAAAGTTTTACTTATTGCAGGAAGGCTACTCTGCTGAAGCGTTCCGCCGATCTCCTGATCGTCTGCGTCGTCCTGCATCGGCCGATTCTAGTTTGATGCTAAGATCGATGTCGACTGACGACGAATTCTATGATCCAGGTTAGTCCATAAGGATTTAGCTGTCAGTCAACTTATCTATGTATTCTTCATTTGACAGCCAACATGGTTTTACATATTCAAAAACAGCCGGTTACTAACAAAGTACCATATCGAGG